TGATATTAGCTTCATTATGTTGTCCGGTTTGCTATGATAACAAATTGCATTTAGAAGAAAATTCTAGATTTGAGCTATTATAAATATTATAAAAAATATTTTTTACTTCTAATTATTAATAAAAACTATATTTAGACATATATATTAAAGTGTGAAAATACAGTAAGATGGTTGTTTAATAAAAAATTGTTCCTGTGTTAAATGCTTTATAAGTAGTAGACTTTTGATGTTATTCACTAAATACTTTAAAATATCGCTAAATAATACGTTAAAATATCGCTACGTTAAATAAAACTAAGAAAATGTGTGAAGGAATGTGCCCCCTATAAAATATAATAACTTCCTACTGACAAACATTCATAGTTTTTAGAAAAAATGTAATTATAAACTTTAATTGTGTTTTTCTCAAAATGACAATTTTGCTGTTTTTTGTCTACGGAAAACAAGATAACTCAACTAATTATAATAAATTTGTCTTCAAACTTTCAGAGATTGTTTCTTGTATTGGTGGTTATGTAACAGACCTCCAGAATTCAGATAACTGTATTATTTTTTGTTTTATGAGATATTTTGCAGTAGATAATGTGAAGAAAATGTGAAAAAAAATGGAAAAATATGCTTAACACTCCATAAATTTTTTTAATTTCATGCTATCATTTAAGTTGAGGTTCATAACACTTCAGAGGGTTATACGAAACGGCTCAAAAAGTTTGATAGCTGCATGTACAATAGTTTTTTGTGTAGAGTGTTTTCCGTTAATGAGTTATTTTCATTAAAATTATCTAAAAAGTACTCTTTAAACAAAAAATTTCCTGTATATTAAAATTTTCTCTATTAAATATGTTTATTTAAATTAATATACAATATAAATTGCAATAATGTTGTGAAAAATATTTATTTTTCAAAAATTTTGTCCCGAAGGTAGTCGGATACCTAAGAAATATTTATTTAGTTGTATGCATTTATACATAATAACATTTGTAAACAGGACTAAACAAAATACCGTCTACAGTCGCAGCATCTAAGTAGCACTGTTATTATTTTTCCTGCCATCAGTGACTTTTTAAAAATCAGTAAATTGCATTATTGTTTTCTATTGAACAGCAATTTCCTTTATTTAAATTAATTTTTTTGAAATATTGCACTTAGTAGCATGTTTGAAAATAATGTAATATATCTTGAGACTGTAATTAAATCAATTATAAATTATCAAATAGAAATTTAAAAAATCTAAAAAAAAAAAAAGTTGTTTAAAGGCAAAATTTTTCAGCCAGTCGATACAATCGCGAGCGTCGATGATACAATTCGACCAATAGCGTGACCCTACAAACTGTGAAATTTAATCGCTCGTGTTCTGTAGAAACTCTTTTGAGAAAAGAGGGTGTTTAGTGGCAACTACCCATTAGGTAGAAATTACATATGCGAGCATGAGCAGACTACGGAATACCAAGTAAGTCTGAAAAATCTCTCAATACGTGGCAATAAAGGCCTGTTTAGACGATCCAATTTCTTGGACAGAGATTGATTGATATTGATGGAAACTTGTTTTGCTTTGAGCTGGGATTGTGCGTAAACAATCATCCAAGTACTTGGCCCAACTTCTTGGACGATAGTAAAGTATGTTCTACTTTCCGTCCAAGTTTTTTCTCCCTTAACCAATCAGCGGCTTAGGTTTTGCGACGTCAACAAGCAGGCAGCAAATTATGTCATTTTGTTGTCTGTTTTCATATATTTTAGTCCAAATAAATTGATCTGTTGCTGTTTATTTGTGTTATTATGATTTTATTTGAATTTATTTAGTAATTTTAAACTTACATATGTATTATTTTATAATGTTGAATATGCACAATGCGCATGTGCAAGTTTTTCTTTCGACGAATCAGTGACATTCGAGAACTCCAATTTCTCGGATTCAAGAACTTGGACCGTGTAAACAGGCCTTAATGGATGGTGTTTTCATTATAAATGTAAACAATAACAATCTCGAGCTCAATACCTGCTCTCGTTTCGGTTAGAAAGTTTGCAACTGCTTACTACAGCTTATTCTGCGAGGCGATATTTTCAAACGGATAATTTTGTTTTCAATAAAAGAAGTAAATTAGATGATTTCTGAGCTCAAATCTGCCGTATTTCAAAAGATATTAATGCTATTAAGTAATTCTGGTGAGTTTGAAGTGAAAATTTGTTTTAGTTATTTATAGATATATTGTTAAAAAAGGTGACATGGCTGCTAGATTTTGAATAACTCGCTTTTTTGGCAGTCCTGATTCGGCCTCTTTCCATTTGTTTATTACTGTTTCTTCTTGTTACAAGCTGTGCACAATCTTACGTTAGTGTTAGCACCGTTAGCATTGTAAACACAAGTATTGTTAGCATTGTAAACACAAGTAATAGGTAATCAAATGCCACGTTTGCAAGAATCTCAAAACACAATGATCACGTTGTGGCTTTAAAATACACCGGAAACAGTAACCTGAAAAAATAGGCGGTATGGAGCTTGCAGCGTTCCCTAGTGTAGAAAACACCAGAATGAGGTAACATGCTTAGGGATCGATATAAAAGTACAAGTTATGCCAATTTTTGAACTTCATATACTATATGGCTAAAATAAAAACATTTTCTTGAGTAACATTAATGTATTGAATAAATTCTTTTTACTATTTTGGTGTTAGCATCGTAGAAAATTTGTGTTTGCATAATAAAATAGGTAATTAATATTATACTAATAATACAAATATATTTAGCAATATAATTATTGCCGTATAAGTCTGTATTTAAGTTAATTTTTTTAATTAAAATAAACTTATTTCTTCCTTTGAAACAATACCTGTATCTTTTTGTAATACAATCAGGTAAATTTTTTTCATAAATTGTGAGCTTTTATTTTAACCAATCTTAAAAAAAAAAACAGTATAATTTTTTTTTCTTATTTCAAAATACGCTTTAGACAGTGATTACTAGGAGAGATGTAAAAAGGATGGTAAGCTATATGTGTGTTGATAAGTATTAATAAAGAGAGATTTTACAAACCTCTCCAGTTACTTCATTTCTTTCGCTTAAATTAGCCACCACTGCAGTGAGCAATCTCGATTGTACAGCAATCACTTCACGTTTGCGCAATGTGGATCTATTAAAACGGAAGTAAGAAGTCAATCAGATGAAGAGATGACAAAATTTCTCTGAGGCCCCCCGCTATCAACCTTTTTATTTTGTTATTAACATTGGAACGCGACAAGTGCTTTTGAAAAACAAACAAATTGCCGTTTCTATAATCCTGCAATGAAAAGGCGCGTAACTGCAGGGAAATATTCATCAGGAGTTAAGATCCTCGAAGATTTTCTGGCTCGGATCGTGGATTTTTTTAGTAGAACGAAGGAAGGTAGTAACCGCACTTGTTTATTTTCAAATGTCAAGTTCCAAGGCACGTGGCAAATTCGAAAAGTTGCTTTGTGGGTGGCTTAATAGCCCAGGAAAACCCTTTAAAATTGGGAATAAGTTTATATTTAGAGGCGTTACTAATTTTCTAATTTGATTTTAATTTCAAGCTTATCTAAGAACTATATACATGTATTATATAAGTTCAAAATGTAGAGAAAACATGGAAAAATTACAGAACAATGGAAAAAGAAAAATAATAATTAAAATATAAAAAACCAGAAAAAAATCCAAAAAATGGAAAAAAATTAATAAAAATCCGGGAAATAAAAAGGAAATCCGGGAAATTTCATCACATGATTATATCCGCAAAAAGGTGTGCTTTCTAATATTGTATCAATATTGCCAAAGCAATATATATCAATACAATAGTGTGAGGAGCACTCAAGAAAAAGTTTTTTATTTTTTATTATTACTTTTCTTTTCCCCTTTTTTCATTGTTCTGTAATTTTTCCATGTTTTCTCTACACTTTAAACTTATTTTATGAGTTCTATTTACTTGCAGCTTATGCGCAGTAAGTAAAACTTATTGTTTTTCTTAATTTTCTTTTTTATTATCTTAAATTTTAAGTTTTTTTAAAAAGATATTCAAAAACTCGCAGCTTCCCTTTCCTTGTTATAGACATTTGTTTTGAGAATTTTAACTAAAAAAGGTAAAATGGTAAGTTTTCGAATATCCTTATTGAAACTTAACTACTTTCCCTTTTTTTATACATAAATATCTCAGGACATATCTCAGGACTGTTTTACATTTGAGATTTTCTTGGCTCCTTACGCCTTGTTCTTCTGTCTTACCTGTTGTCAATTTGTCATCGACTGTATTGGTTCTTTGACCTATATTAACTTGGGACCTCCGTTTACCTGTGACCTTTTAATGTTTTCTTATGTTCACTTCAGGTACACGTTTTTTTTTTAATGGTTCACTTTATGTTTTACTGTTCCTGAATACATCAACAGTTTATACTTTGTGTCCTTTATATCCTGTCACAATGTTAATGATCGCTTTGGTTTAGCGACCCAACTAACTCTGTAATATTACTCGTATTAATCCTATGTACTGCCTGCACATGATGCATTGTATGTCATACTGTACTTTCATGCGATGTGTTGTAAAATTTTTCATTTGTGTCTTTGGATCACTATAAGGGAAGCCCCGTCGGCTTCGGCACTATAAGGCGGGACTCTCGGAGCATTTTAATTATTTTACTGCTGTTGCCATCAGACTCTGTAATGTTTACATAATGTTACTCTGTAATGTTACTTTTTGTATTTTATGTACTTTTCTGTTTTTCTTGATTTTAATAAGCATTTACCCGTATGCCCTAAATTGGGGCAGGTCGGGGTAAATATTTCATAAATATCTCAGGACACTGATAAGCTTAATTTAAAAGGACTCAAGAATAGAACCGTCTGCAAGAGACACTCAAATCGGTAAATATAGCAGATCTTTCGTCTTAAGCCTTCATGTTAGATCAGCTATTTTTAAGCGAAGAGTTGCATCTATCGGACGCATTGAGATGCGATTATCGCAATGTGTTGGATAGACGTGATCACCTATAAGAAGTTTACTGTACTCAGCATTAGGGGGCGTACACGAGCTCTAGAGTTGCGGATGCCATTTTCCTTTTAAAATAAAATTCTAATTTTTACAGAAAAATAAATTATTTTTGTTAGGCCTACTAAAATCAAAAAGGTGCTCAAAAACTTAGTATAAGTGCATATCACTTCAAAGTAGTAGCATCAAATGACCAAGGTACGGCATATAGAGATCCAAGGTACAACACCAATTTTCCTGATTTTTTTTAATGTTTTTTGAAGTGCATGATAGAACACGAAAGATTAATCGAAAAACATATTAGGTATATTCGATGAAATATCAAATTTATTTAAATCATGACTAAGTTGCTTGAATCAAAGAGAAAAGTTCAAATTGGTGCAATGCACAACACTCTCCCCTTTATAAAGAAAAAAGACAACACTGATTTTAAAATTTAGCATGTCTTCATAAGGAAATAAATATATACACGCAATAAAGCAACTATTAAATATGTACAACTCTTACAAAATAAAATGATTTATGATTTACAGTTATAACATTACCAAATCAAAAAACAAATGCAGTTGTTTCGTGTAAATTGCATAAAAGCGATGAAGCTGCTCATAAATAGTTTTGAAAATATAAGCTTAAATAAAATCAGAAAATATTCAAATTCTTTAATAATGATTCCAGGCTAAAAAGACAATCTATTCAAGTTTCATTTGTATTATAAACAAAATCTATAATTTAAAATATAGCATTTATATTGCAATTATAGAATTATAGTTCTTCTTCTACTTGATTAATTTAATTGATAAAAATTTGATAATAGGCAAATAAGATGTAATGTCTCAAATAAGAATATTTTCATTTTTCACACGTTCGATTAACTCAGGCTTTCTTATCATCAGCAATAGGAGGAGTTTTTTCTTTCAATCCTTCATTTCCACTTCCTTTCAAAATGTCATCTTTCTTTTCTAGAGCACCATCATCTTTACTACCATCTTTCTTCAATATTTTGCCTTTCTTTCCTAAATCATCCGTAGCACCCTCTGAATTACTGGAATCACCATCGGCTCCCAGCAATTTCTCGTGTTTCTTCAACGTAGAATCAAGATCACTGCCACCAGCTCCATCTAACCCATCTCCATCCCCACCTAAAACATCTCCCTTTTCTCCAACTCCACCTAAATCACCTCCTTTAGCTCTACTTAACCCAACTCCATCCCTACCTAAAACGCCTTCTTTTCCTCCAGCTCCTCCTAAACCAACTTCTTTTCCTCCAACTCCACCTAAACCATCTCCTTTAGCTCCACCTAACCCAACTCCATCCCCACCTAAAGCGCCTTCTTTTCCTCCAGCTACACCTAAATCATCTCCTTTAGCTCCACCTAACCCAACTCCATCCCCACCTAAAACATCTCCTTTTCCTCCAACTCCACCTAAATCATCTCCTTTAGCTCCACCTAACCCAACTCCATCCCCACCTAAAGCGCCTTCTTTTCCTCCAGCTACACCCAAATCACCTCCCTTTCCTCCAACACCTAAATCACCTCCTTTTCCTCCAACTCCACTTAAATCAGCCCCTTTATCTCCACCTAACGCCACTCCATCTCCACCTAAAACGCCTCCCTTTTCTCCAGCTCCACCTACATCACCTCCTTTTTCTCCAACTCCACCTAAATCTACTCCTTTAGCTCCACTACCACCAGCTCCTCCTAAACCACCTTCTTTTCCTCCAATTCCACCTAAACCATCTCCTTTAGCTCCGCCTAACCCAACTCCATCCCCACCTAAAGCATCTCCTTTTCCTCCAACTCCACCTAAACCATCTCCTTTAGCTCCCCCTAACCCAACTCCATCCCCACCTAAAGCGCCTTCTTTTCCTCCAGCTACACCCAAATCACCTCCCTTTCCTCCAACACCTAAATCACCTCCTTTTCCTTCAACTCCACTTAAATCATCCCCTTTATCTCCACCTAACGCCACTCCATCTCCACCTAAAACGCCTCCCTTTTCTCCAGCTCCACCTACATCACCTCCTTTTCCTCCAACTCCACCTAAATCTACTCCTTTAGCTCCACTACCACCAGCTCCTCCTAAACCACCTTTTTTTCCTCCACTTCCACCTAAACCATCTCCACTACCACCAGCCCCACCTAAACCCTTCATCTTTTCATCCTTTTTTAACACGTTATCAGTATTTCCTAAACCGTCTTTATTTCCTTCAACTCCTTTTAACTTTTCACCTTCCTTTCCCAAACCACCATCTGAACTTTTTGAATCTCCCCCTTCACCTGAACTGCCAGCTTTCTCACCTCCAATATTTAACTTTTTCTCTTTCCCCAAAGCACCATCAGCTCCACCTAATACACCGTCTTTGCTTTCACCATCCTTTAGAATTTTTTCTTTCTTTCCTAAGTCACCACCAGCTCCAGCTAAATCATCATCTTTTCCACCTGGGCTACCTAACTTATCATTCTTTTTTTCTAATGCCCCACCAGGAGAATTATCTTTTCCATTCGTATCTTTTAATTTTTCGTCCTTTTTTCCTACAGCATCCTTATCACCTGCAATACCTGGTACTTTGTCCTTTCCAGAAGCATCATTAGTTCCTCCTAATCCACTATCTTTACCATCATCTTTCTTCAGAATTTTGTCTTTTGCTCCTAATCCACCATCCTTGTCATTCAAAATTTTATCCTTTTGTCCTAGTCCACCATCCTTGTCACTCAACACTCCATCTTTTTTTTCCGATCCCCCATTTTTGTCACTCAACTTCCCATCTTTTTTATCTGATCCCCCATCCTTCTCACTCAATACTTCATCTTTTTTTCCTAATCCACCAGTCTTGTCGCTCAACAATTTATCTTTTTTTTTCGATCCACCATCCTTGTCACTCAACACTCCATCTTTTTTTTCCGATCCCCCATCTTTGTCACTCAACTTTCCATCTTTTTTATCCGATCCCCCATCCTTATCACTCAATACTTCATCTTTTTTTCCTAATCCACCAGTCTTGTCGCTCAACAATTTATCTTTTTTTTCCGTTCCCCCATCTTTGTCACTCAGCTTTCCATCCTTTTTTCCTAATCCACTATCTTTGTCATTCAACGTTTTATCCTTTTGTCCCAATACCCCATCCTCGTCATTCAATATTCCATCTTTTTTTTCTGATCCCCCATCCTTGTCACTCAATACTTCATCTTTTTTTCCTAATCCATCAGTCTTGTCGCTCAACAATTTATCTTTTTTTTTCGATCCCCCATCTTTGTCACTCAGCTTTCCATCCTTTTTTACTAATCCACTATCCTTGTCATTCAACGTTTTATCCTTTTGTCCCAATACCCCATCCTTGTCATTCAAAATTCCATCTTTTTTTTCTGATCCCCCATCCTTGTCACTCAATACTTCATCTTTTTTTCCTAATCCATCAGTCTTGTTGCTCAACAATTTATCTTTTTTTTCAGATCCCCCATCTTTGTCACTCAGCTTTCCATCCTTTTTTCCTAATCCACTATCCTTGTCATTCAACGTTTTATCCTTTTCTCCCAATACCCCATCCTTGTCACTCAACAGTCCATCTTTTTTTTCTGATCCCCCATCCTCGTCACTCAACACTTCACCTTTATTTCCTAATCCACCATTCTTGTCGCTTAACAATTTATCTTTTTTTCCCAATCCACCATCTTTGTCATTCAACACTTCATCCTTTTTTCCTAATGCACCATCTTTATCACTCAACTTTTTGTCTTTTTTTTCTAAAGCAGAATCAGAGTCACCTTTTTTACCCCCAACATTATCCAACAACTTTTTGTCTTTCTCTGAGTCACCATTACCTCCTCCTAATTCCCCCTCTTTTCCTTCCTTTGCCTTCCCAATTTCTGCTTTCTTTTTTAAGCTTTCATCAGTTCCACCTAAACCATCATCTTTACCATCCTTCTTTCCTAAGATACTATCAGTAGCACCATCTTTCCCCCCTGCTCCATTTAAAGTTTCGTCCTTCTTTTTTAAAACTCCCCCACTTTCCCCTAATCCACCATCTTTCCCGTTTGCAGTTTTTGACGTTTTGCCTTTCTTACTTATAGAATCACCAGTTCCTCCCAAGCCATCTTTTTTACCTCCTCCTTTTAGAATACCTTCTTTTTTTCCAGGAGCTCCACCATCTGTTTCCTTCAAACCGATGTCTTTATCTCCAGTATTTTCCTGCGTTTCATCTTTCTTTTCTGAACCACCACTAGCGCCACTTATAACACCGTCTTTTCCAGAAACATCTTTCAACAAGTCATCTTTTTTTCCCGAATCATCTCCCTCTTTGTCTTTACCATCAGCATCTTTTGTTTTTTCTTCCTTCTTACCTAAAGCACTGTTTTGTCCACCATCTTTATCTCCTCCACCAACTGCGCCATTCTTTCCATTTGCATCTCCTAACAATTCATCTTTCTTTTCTAAGTTATCACCAACTCCTTGGTTGCCGCCTACATTTCCAGCTTTATCATTATCCTTCTTCCCCAAAATTCCATCAGCTCCGCTTAAATCACCATCTTTACCACCTGCATCGCTCACCTTTTGTTTTTCTAAGCCAGTATCAACTCCCTCAAGTCCACCGCTTTCTTCCCCAGCGCCATTTAACTTATCGTCTTTTTTACCCAAAGCACTACTATCACCTGTGCCTCCCAGTATTTCATCGTTTCTTATAAGCCCATCATTTCCCCCTGAACCACTACTTCCCTCTCCAGAGTCTTTTTCTATTCCTTCAGTTTCCTCTGGAGCGTCACCACTTCTTTCTGGTTTATGACTCCTTTCATGATGTCTTGATCTATGATTTCTATACGGATGTCTTGCAGGACTATGCGCACCTTCTTCTGGTTCATGATCGCCTTCATTATATTCATGTTCGTATCTCTCGGGTGCTTGGCTTTCTCTATCATGAGCATGTCTTGGAATACCATCTTCCCTGGAATGGTCTCTATGTCCATGGCCTCGATGTCTTCCTCCATGTTTCCCATGCCTTTCGCTGCCATTCTGTCCTTCATGATTTCCAGATAGACTTCTTAAAACTGAATCGTCTTCTCCACCACCTTCTGAGTCATATTCTTCAGACGAGTCTTCATAAGAGTTATCACCGCTGCTATCATAATCAGAAGATTCATAACCTGGAAAATAAGGAAATTAAAATTTTAACTATACATTTTAAAATTTACGGTAACAAAAATGCAGGTTAAGGTATATAAGTTACAGATTAGATATAGGTTGTATGCAGGTCTCTATTTTAGCAAATAAACTAAACTCTGTGGCTCAACAGCTCATAGAGTACCCAGGGCTACTGTGCCGTCTCATTTTTCTTGACCTTGGGCTCTGTGGAGCAGATGTTCCAGTTAGGTGGTCAACCGAACACTGAACCCCCAGTGTTTAGTCCCCAAGTAGCTTGGTACTCATTTTATGGACCAACTGAAGGGATGAAAGGCTGAGTCAACCTTGCTCGGCCCTAAGATCGAACCGAGGATCAGTGACACGAGAGCGCGAAGAGCTACTACTCAACCACTGGGTGTCATTTTAGTAAATAGAGATATTTAAATTGTGAGACGGATCTTGATCAGTTGTCCTTCAACAGTCGTCAAATAATTATTTACATATTCCGGCTGTAAAAGGGAACAATGCATTTCCCCCATTAACTCTTGTTGCTATTGGCAACCAATTGATCAATGAGTGCATAATGTGAATGGATGGATATTTTTTTAAATTTCGCCAGTTTAGACATATCTATACGTATTGGATTAACAAATCTAGAAATGTATATTTGTTTTTAAATTAAAACTTCTCATTAAATTAGAGAAAAATTCTTCTATCATACGGCTTATTAAAAGCGATTCAAACATCATTTACAAACTTTGCACAATTTATAAACCATTGATTTTAAAACATTTATAACCTAAAAAGTGACTGGCGTGGTCCGGCTATCCGATTAAGGTTTTTGTAGGCTGATTTGGTGGTCGCTTTATTAATTTTGGCTAGGATGATCGACTACTTGTTGACACTATATCTCTGCCCATAGGCGCAAAATTGTGATTGTGCCTTTTTTGATCATGGCTTGGTTTGGAGCACTGTGTCGGAAAGTCTAGTCACTGTGTGGTGGCTCAGGGGAGCATTCGCTTTCCAATGAGGTGACTTGGGTTCGAATCCCAGCAATAGCTGGTCGATACGTATTCCGCATCCAGCTTGCACCGATGACAGTGCTGACGTAAAAATACCTTCGAAGGTAGACGGATCATGGGTTAGAGTCCCCTTGCAGTCAGGCTTACCGTGAGAGGTTTTCGTGGTTTTCCTCTCCATGCAACGCGAATGCGGGTTAGTTCCATCAAAAAGTCCTCCACGAAGGCAAATTTCTTTCAATACTTGATCCAGGAGTTCTATTGTTTTCTGGGTTGGGTTCAAAATTACAAGGCTACAGAGTTGAACATTAGTAGTCGTAAACCCGAAATTGGGTCTGCTGTTTAACGACGGTTATAAAATTAAAAAAAATCACTGGGTTCCCGTGAGCTCTATCACTGTGTTGGTTATCACTTGCTCCTGAAAGGCTCTATGATGGGAGTTTTGAAATCTTACCTCAAAAATGTCTACTATGTTCTATTTTATTCTCCATCAAACATTTAATTTTCAAAGTAGGAAAGAAAACAATAGCAAAAAAGTTATTTGCTCGAAAAATACAGGGGAACAAAATTTAGTGTTCATTTACATGATAATTTTAGAAGTTTACATTATTGTTCATTGATATTGCATCCAAATTATGCAAGGTCATGAATACTTCCTCTTCTTTAATTCGGATTTAGGGATTTTAATTCTAAAATAAGTTTTGCTCCAGAAGCTACAGATTTTTTTAAACGACATTTTAATCTAATTCTTGTCGAATTGTACAAGTTTAAAAGCGTTATATATAGCAGAAAGCCGCACAAATGTTGCGCCAAACTGAAGCGAGTTAGGGCACAGCATCAGGATTAAAAATGCACATTAAACAATCCCCAGAAATGTCATCCTAGGCAGCTAGGGACGCTCCCTTATTACGAACTGTTCTTCGGAACAGGTCATAGTAGGAAAATGCCCCTAGCGGCGAATGACTACATTGCCGGTCTGGGGGTCCTAATTTTAATCCTAATGATCTCCCTAACTCCCTTAAAACTTTGTAACAACATTTATGTGACCCCCTGTTATATATAGAATTTTTAAACTTGTTCATTTCCACAAAAAATATACAAAAATGATCTTTAAAAAAACTGTTGCTTAGAGAGAGTAACTCGTTGCATATTTGAAATAAGCCACACGAAAGTGATCTAAGATCTATAAAAAAAATTCCTTGTAACAGAAAAAAAATTGCTCAACAACGTAATTGTTTTTTTCCCTAAGACCATTTTTAAATAAAAATAGCGATAATAATTATAAAACTCAAAGTTGTAACGGATAGTTAATTCGTAGCACCAGATGGCGCTACCTCTCTATCCGCATAAACAATAACAATAGTCTCCATTCTGACTTATGATGTGAGATTACGCAAGATGAGCTCTTCGAATATTCTTGGTTCCCTTTTACCCCAATCAGTTTGGGTAAAACTTAAAATTTACTTTTTATGTTAGTTAATGTTGTGTTGTTACTCTTTATTGTTAAATGAATGTGTGAATGTATAATTAAAATACTGAGCTCTTCATGATGGTGTTTATTTCCATCCTCTTGCGTCCTTACAAAGTGTTATTATTTATAACAAAAAGCAGATCAAGGGACTTTAATTGAAAACAAATTACAGCAATGATTTATATACGTTGAGAAAAATTTAAAATTAAATTTAATTTTCAAAGGGTTTTCAAATTAATTAGAACAATTCTTTTGAAATATGTCAATTAAACGACCTTGCCGATTTCAAATTTTTTCAGTGAGATTTTACGACTGATATTCATTAAGTTTTATTTACGGTTTTCTTACATTAGCGTGAAAAACCAAAAAACCCAAACATCTTATTGAAATATAATAGAAACGAGCCATTAAGTTGTTGGATCACGCTATTGATCGAAAACGTTTACGTAATATCGATATTAAATTTTATTTTCATGTTTTTGACTCCAACAGAATTTATCACAAAACTAAGCAAATTGTAAATAGTATTTTTATTTTGAACGATTTTAAAACAATTTTAAAAAATATTTATTTAGTCGCATGCATTATACATTTTAATATTTATAACAGTACCAAACAAAATACTGCCTACTGTTTCAGTATTTATGTTTATTACCTATCAATTCTTGCGAAAACTTAACCAAAATAATACTGTTCTTTTTTTTTCCTGCCATCAGTGCCTATTCAAAATTCCGTAAATTGAATTTTTTTTCTTCTATTGCACAACTATTTCTTTTATTTAAATTAAATTTTTTGAAATATTAGGCTAAAAAACACGTTTGAAAATATAGCTATATATCTTGGGATTATAATAAGTTTTTAAATAAATACAAAGAAAATAATAAAAAAAAACTTGTTTGGAGGCAAAATTTTCAGCAATTTTCCAAAATGAAATCAGCGACAGTCAATATATACCAGGGGTGGCCAAACTCCTTGATAATCGAGCTATTTTTCAAAATTTGAAATTTTTGTTATTACGCATTAATATTAAATACGTATTTAAAAGGTACGCAAAAAAGGTATTAAATTTTCTTCTTACAGAAATTATATTTATTGAAAACATATAAATAAAAGTACAAAATATCTGTATTGAATTTAAATATTAAAAATTAAACACATTCATTTTACTTCTCTTGATAATTGCTTAAAATTTGATGAATAATTGGTGACAGCACTTCTCAGTAATTCTTTGAGATGCTGGTTAGTTAATACTGATCGGTGTTTGGATTTCACGAATTTTAAAGTGGAATAAAATGATTCACGCAAATACGTTGTTCCGAATATTGAAATAATTCGACAAGCAGCCTTTTTTAATTCAAGATACTTCGATTCTGGTACAAATTTCCAAAATTCGGAACATACGGAACGATAATAATGTTTTTAAAATACAATAGAACAAAAATGAAAAGGGAACTCTGGTACATTTATCGAGAGCCACAAATAATCCATCAAAGAGTCGCATGTGGCTCGCGAGCCGCAGGTTGGCCACCCCTGATATATACCATCTCCTTTCCCATAAAGTAGTCACGTTATTTTCGACCAATAGCCTGAACCGGCCACTTTTGATTCGTTAAAGGCTACATAAAAATCTGCGCTAATAATTTTGCAACTGCTGCACCAAATAGACAGACAGCGTTATTTTCCCGTAGTTTCTTGGAACAGCTTTGCACTTTAATTTTTTATTTTCGGCAGGAAGCTAAACTTTTTTTTTGTTAGATTAAAATTTTTCTATCTTTCCAAGAGTGTATTGTGAAAAAAACTATTTTCTCCAATTTTTTAAATGGCTCCAATTTTATTATGACAAAACTGAATCCCTCATTTTAAAAACTGAAATATTATCAGAGATAAAATAATGTTGTTGTAGTTGTAGTTTCATTACGCAGGATCATTTACGTCGCACTAGAGCTGCACAATGGGCTATTGGCGACGGTCTGGGAAACATCCCTGAGGATGATCCGAAGACATGCCATCGCAATTTTGATCCTCTGCAGAGGGGATAGCACCCCCGCTTCAGTAGCCAGACGACCTGCACGCGAAGTCGAGCACTTTACGGTAGAACAGTTTAATGAGGACCAATACCGCACACCCTCGGTCCCTACGCAGACAAACCCAAGTGGTCACCCACCCGCACACTGACCGCAGCCAGTGATGCTCGCCTTAGGTGATCTGCTGGGAACCGCGTCTTAACGATCCACTGCGGGACGATAAAACAATTAAAAAATAATTTAAATAGATAAATAAAAAGACTATAACTACGAGTGTAAAATGTGCTCTCTGGTATAGTTTTTTTTGTTTTTTTTTTTTTTGTTAAAAAGAAAATTCTTTCGTTGAAATGACTGAGTGTGAAAATTAGGGATATTTTTTCCTCCTTTTGTTCAATAATGTAATAAATGCAATAAATTTCAATGATGTAATAAATTGGAGTAATTTGATAGAAATTCTATCAATAAGGGCGAATCATTAAAGGCTAAAAAATAATTATTTATGAGAAAAAAACACCTCAACAAAATCTAATGATAGCGTCGCAGGATCAAATGAAATCGTTGATACTGTGAAAGTTTTATGCTTCAATTCATGCACCAGGCAATCAGATATTCCATAAAATCAGAAACGTCTGACACAGTTTACCATGCTATCAATGATTTATTATATTTTAGCCAGAAAATCACATGGTAAGATCTAGTTCTCTCACAATTCCACATATTTTTGGTTGAAATTAATATAAGTCGTGAAGGTATCGTTTTACTATAAAATCATTTTGTATTTCGAATTTTAACGCATTTACCTGCAATGTTTATTTTTTCTTATTCTACTCCTTTTTTATTACGTTTTTGATTTCGATTGCTTCCTAAATAAAGAGCACAAAATTAAAGGACTTGTTTCTTTATTAAAAAACAGTTCTGTGATATTACCCTCACCGTAATTTGCTACATTTTAAGATGTACTTATTTTAATCGGTGTTTATATTTATTAATAGTTTTTATAATTATTGTTTTCGGAGCACATTACATTAATATAGTATTATACAATATAGTTTAAGAGGTTCGTTTAATGATTAAAAAATTCGATCAGCTTTACGTACAATGTGAAGTATGCAAAAATATATCAACCTGTTTGGTAAACGAAAATATTAAATTATGGTTGAGCATTCACAAAATTTGTAACAATATACTTATACTTTTAAATGTTATTTTAAAAGACTACTGCTAAGAAAAACTATTTATGTTCACTAATAGATATTAATAGAATTACCATGGAAATATTTAGATTTGAGAAGTTGAGGCATAAGCGTGAGCAAACAGAATTCTTTTTAGTACATATATTTTAAGTGAATAATTTCAACCTAGGTAGAAAACAACACGAAACAACAATTATCGCGGCTGACGAGTGGTAGCTAACAGTGTGTGGGGGTGGGGGCAGCCCCTTTATTTAAATAATAAAATGAAAACTGCGTTTTTTAAGAAGACTAAAAAAAAAAATTCAATTTTGACACATTCAAAACGAAAAATATAAAAAGCATTTATGAAAAACTTAAGATGAATTTTCGGTGTTTATATAAGTTTATTGGTGTAGATTATGTAGTTATTATTTTTGGTGTGACACTAGTGAGTGAAAAAATATGAAACTTCGATCAGATATTTTTAGTTACTTTATGCCAAAGTTGAAGTTTGTTATTTTTTCTCATGAAATTTAGATTAGAAAAAATTATTAACAATAGAATCATGATTTTTTGATGTCAAAAGGTAAATTACCTGTCTTCCGTTATTTAAGTTGAGTTTCAATTAAAGTTTTTTTTAATCGTTTTCGGCTTTTTCAATGTAAACGAACTAGTGGCAGTTAAATTTTTTTTTTTGCAGTCACATATATTAAGATAAAAAGGGATACTTCCCTCCTTTTTGAAATTTTCTACTAATTTTGGAGTCATTAAACTTAATTTTTAAACTTTTTTCAAACGAAATTAAGATGTATAATTCCGAATGGTTAACAAAAAATACATATTTTCCCCGTTTTTTGGATAAGATAACATGGACCGATACTCTTTATTAAAAAAATCCAAATTATCGTCTATTTTAATAGTATGTTAAAAAAAATATAGTTAAAGTATAGGATTCAATCTGGAACAACGGTAAATTTTAAGGATTTTCAATTTAGAAATGTGAAATTCTCAATGAATATCAATCCATTACAATATCTTGATTTTTGGCTTTTTCATCAGGAAGATGTGATGAGTGTGTGTATCGAACTTAAGATCGCGAATAAATCTTAAAAAAATATAGTTCAGCAAATTGGCGAATGTAAGCGTGCAAGGATAAAGGCTCCTAGTTTATAAAAATATTAAGTTATTCTGCCAAAATTAGAGTGATTAATAAGGTGATTTTCAAAGAAAAATAACTTTTAGCTCCCAGTTGCTTTTAAACAAGACGAAGTACTCAAATTCACTAATTTAATAAACACTTAACTTGCTCTTCAATTATTATATTTCTTTCGCAAAAGAAACAAAAATGACAAAAATTCAATCTTTTATTTTTGCAACTGGATTGTGAATTTTTTTTTTAATTTCATGATTACATTTCATTGATAACATGACTTTTTGTTTATTCTTATATCGCCGATTCTATCGAAAACATACAGAATTTGAATTGATTTGATTGTAATTATCTTAATAGTAATTTAAATAATTATAATTTAATTAATTATAAAATAAATAATTATAATAAAAATAATTATAATATAAATAATGATAATATAAATAATTATAATATAAATAATTATAATACAAATAATGATAATATAAATAATTATAATATAAATAATTATAATAAAAATAATTATAATATAAATAATTATAATACACGCTAATTAATACTTATAATAATTTGGAGTAAGCAGTAGGAAAGCTGAATATTAGTTAAAAAGGAATGAGAATAGAGGAATTAAAAAAAAAAAAAAAAAAGTGANAATAAAAAAAAAAAAAAAAAAAAGGGAATTAACTTACTTAGTAGTATAACTGTTATACAATCTCTTTCTTTGCCTTGAACTAAAAAATAAATAAATATAAAAACTGTTTTTCCAATTTGTGAACTTGATTGGCTTTGTTAAAAATTAGAACTAAAATTTCTACATGTAAACAAGTCATACCCATTTTTACAGAATAATTTATAATGATTTTCATGGAAAATTTATTTTTAGAATCTTAGCTTTTGTATGGTTATTTTCTTTCAAAATAGGAGCGATTCCCGCTTAGATTTGGCTTTATACTTCGTTTTCTAGCTTAAGAACATAGAATGTCGATAAAATTTATGAATACAATTTGTACCGATTTATTTTATGGTATTACCAAACAATTTTTAAGTGCCAGACTTTTAAAAAAAAATATCAATTCAACCTTAACTATCAATTATAACCCAACCTTAAGGCCCAAATGTGTTTCTCAATATCCGCACTTAATTTATATTTTTAGAATCCTTTTAAAAATTAAGGTAAAAGGTATATATATAGAAGAAGTTTCACATTAGAAGTTTCTACTTCTCAAATCAATATTTTTTGTTTTATAACCGTCGTCGAACAGCCGGCCCAATTTTGGGTCTACGACGACTAACGTTCAACTCCATAGCCTTATAATTTTGAACCCAATCCAGAAGACAAGGGAACTCCTGGATCAAGTATTGGGAGAAATGCCTTCGTGGAGGACTTTTTGATGGAGCTAACTCGCATTTGCATTACATGGAGAGGAAAACCATGAAAAGCTCCTACGGTTAGCTTGACGGCCAGGGGACTATAACCCATGATCTGTCTACCACTGAAGATATTTTACGTCAGTCTGTGGTCGGTGCTAGCCGGGTGCGGAATTCGAATCGACCAGCCATCAGAGGAATTCGAACCCACTTCACCTCATTAGAAGTCGAAGGCTCTCTACCCTGAGCCTCCATGGCTCTCAAATCAATATTCAAGCGAGGAAGGAAAAAAAAAACGCTATCGAATTTTAATTTGACAAAGGCACAACGCAAACAGGTTGGAGTTTCTTAACTATTTTGGTTTGATGTTTAAATTTGCCCCATAAATAAGGAGATCCCCGATGCCAGGAAAGAGGTTCAATCGGTTCTATTACGTGCTGTTGTGTATTTATGAGGAAGGCATAGTCTTTCTAAGCTAAGAACTTCTCCCGCCACAAAGTCTGAGGCCGTCTGGTGCTATGGAAACAAGAATGGCACATTTTAGAGAGGGTGGCTTCACTCTAGGACTAACACAATAGACAGAAGAAAAAGATTCCCTTTCACCCACCGACCCGAGCCGAAACCACTCCAAAACAGTGACCCCGCACCCCTACTTGAAATAGTCATACCTCGTTACCATAGTCACCGCCACAGGTCCAGCCGAATGTCTGGAGGAGTTCTTATTTTCGCCTAACTATAAACCTCTTCGCTTGCTTCAGAACCGGTTTTTGTTATATTTAGAACAAAGAAGTGGCTGTTATGAAGAAAATATTAACGTTTTGGCTTTAGTCACGGTTAACAGTTAACTTAGCTTCGCCATAAAATAAAAATTTGATTAATTGTCCATTGCAATAAAGAAAGGGGGAATTGCTGAACATCAAAATTTTGTTTGATTGCGGGTTGAAATCTTAAAGTGTTTCTAATGATTGTACTAAAACTCCTCTTTGTTTTAGCCCGTAACCAAATACAAATTTGTTGTTCTGTACAACCGCCTTCCTCAATTGCGATTTGTCAAATTTCGGTAGCGTTTTTTTAACTCCTGGGAAAAATATTACTTTGAGATTTAACTAAATGTCTACACTTTTTAGTCTTCATTATTAGGAAGGCTTTCTTTTCAGTTCAAAAGAATTTATTGCTTTCTCCCCAAAAAAAAACACTGATATCGAAAGAGTTAAGAATTTTTGTGTTAGGCACGATATTGAAAAATATAAATAAATAAATCTATATGTAGTTGAGGCGACCTGTGACTAATTTAAATTAGCAAGACGCCAATTTGAACTTCAAAAAAGTCCATCTACATATTTAGTATCTACTCAATGTTATGATCTTTAGTTAGAATAGAAAAGTTGTGTTCTAGCATTTTTTTTTGCATTCTGCTCTAGATTATTTAGTTCTAGCATTTGCCGGACCTCTTCAGACGCATACTTTAAATAATGACCGAAAATACGGTTTTTAAGCAGAATGGATAGTAATAAGAAAGTAAGTTCAAAACCGCGATAAAATACTTATTTAATTTAACTTAATTTACCTTATTTTTATTGTTTGTAATTATTTCAAAGAATTATACATTTTAATTTTTAGCATTTGTTTGCATATTGTAGCATATTTTTATAGTGTACTTATTCGCCTTTTGGTAACGAAACAAATTCCACTAGAGTCAAATAATTTATATGCCATAAAGGGCACAAACGTTACTTTAATTAAATTTACCTTTAAAAAAAAAAACTGAAAATTTAAATTTTCAGTTAGTATCCAATGGCCAGTAGATTCTAATGTCTTAGCGACTTTTTTCTCATACCTAATGGATGGTGACTGATATGGACAGGTTCTTTTATTTAAATAGCAACTTTTTGCAAACTATTTGTTTATTTATTTTTTTGCTTGAACTAAATAATAGTTTAAAGAAATTCATATTAGAAATAATCTACGGCTGTAAAAAAATTAATTCAACAATAAAAATAATATAAATGTTTGACAAAATTTAGCTAAACATACTGACTTCAAAGAAGATTATGTAAAAATATTTGGGGTGGCAAAATACATTTACAGGCCTGACTACTACTACGCTTTCTGCAAATTATTTTATGGAGTGGTAAATATTTGAGAACTTTTGGTAATGTTGCCAATATTTTAAAAACCTCACTACGAAAGAGCTTGGATCAAAGTGGTGTTGCATATGAACTTTGAAATTCTTTATAAGCAGTGGTGTGGGAAATAAGTTTAAATGAATTAAAAATAACACATTAAAACAAAAACATAGCAACCACTAGTATAAATTTTCACAAAAAGCGTAGAAAGTTGGCGGCCCTGCATTTAATGTACAAAGTTGGCAACTTAGAAATTTGTGAATGGTGAAAGAACTCTCCTTCCACATGAATCTTTCCACCACAAAGTGATGGATTCTGAAGAACCTAAATTTTGAATGGCGACATTTAATGAAAATTTTAATGAAAATTCTGTTTCTATAGATGTACTTTTATAATTATACGAGGTTTGTTTTTTTTTTAAAAAAAAGAGATGGAAAAAGTGACCGGTTGTTTATTTAGTTTAGGTCGTAAATTTTTTTTGTTGCTGCCTTGCCACGTAGCGAGTGGCTATTTTCGATTTTCAAATCAACTTTCTTAAGATTTTTTCATTGTAATTAAAAACCTAAACCAACGACGGTAGATCCAATTGAATCTATGAGTCTGAAAATCAGTCATCTCCACTTTTTTACAAAATTGAGATTCTTATATTTTTAAGTTTAGCTGACGTAGATACATAGCTATAGGTATAAAAATTTCACGTCCACTTACTTGGTATAGAAAATTTTGCGCAGTAAAAAAAGCTCTCTACAAATCAAGCTAATACTTAACTATTCAGTTTGTTGTCTCTCCTGTAAAATTAGTTTTTTTTTTAATTTTTTGAAGATGACCGGTTTTCTAATTCATTGATTCAATAATATTTTTGCTTATACACTAATTACATATTTGAATTTATAAAAGCTTGAGCAAACAGGAAAAATACTAAAATACTTTTTTGTTCACCAAATGTTGCTCGCTAATATTGGACACTAGGTCTGTGGAAGTAAATATGTTTAAAAACTTAGAGTGCAAATGTTTAAAATATATAATTCTTCATTAAAAAAAAAAAACATAAATTAAGGCAAAATAGCTTTTTTCTTACTCAATGGATAGGAGGTGGACTGCAAAACCAAGATTGCAAATCCAATGCAGAAAATGAGGTTCATTGCAAGCCTCCCGAATTGTGGAACTATTTTTCTGATGACTGCTTGACACTCTTACTAACAATGTAAAGTGAAGGTTTTCCAAAGATGCTCAACTCAAAAATAAATTAAGAAATATAAGCACAAAAATTGTTTCTCTTCTTGAACGACCAGCAATTTTTCTTTTGTGTAACCACCTGCCCTTGCCAATTATAAGACAAAATATTGAAACCTTAGATTATGCGAAAAACAAAAACTCTTGTACCAACAATGAACTAAGTCTTAAACTAATTGGATATTCCGAGTATTTTTCAAAATGATTTTTACTTAAAAAATAGTGGCAACAAAATACTGTTTGTGCAGGTGCTTCCGCCGTTTTGTTTATCTTTAGAATAATTTCTTAATTAAATACGCCATTGGTAAGCACGTTTTTAAAAACAACAAATTAAATTACCCACTTTAGTAAGTAAATGATGTCATTTTAAAAATTATTTTTAGGACTAGGAGTAACTAGCTTTTACCCGATTACAACTGTAGTAATTGGTTACGGATAATACCAATTGATTACAGATAATAATTACGCAGTCATCAATATTACGTAAATGAGGAATTTTTAAGAGTATTTTCAAGATGTGAAGTATTTTTTTTTACTGATTAATACAGTACTAATTGATAAGAATAGGAATAATTTCAACTAATTACAAATAATAATTGCATAGCAATCAAATAGCATACGGATTGCATCAATTAAAGTGATTTTTACTTTTTTTGTACAGAGTAAATATTAATTTGCATAAATCACCAAATGAAAGGAGATACTTCAACTTTACCAGGCTTTTATAAGTTAAATTGCTATAATGTGATACCTGAAACAGTTATTCCTCCTTCCTCACTTTAACATTGGAGCATTTTGATAACACATTTTAGTTATAATTCTCCGGCCACAAGTTTTGAAATCAAGCATAGTATTATTTGTAGTCATACAGTCTTTACAGTTCATAGTTACTTGTACCACTCTTTAATTTTCTGTCATATACCATCTAAAGAACTACTCTCTGAATCACTCAGTGTGTGATAAAAAACATCAACAAAACAGCAAGCATAAACTAAATAATTAATTGTTAGGTTAGGAGAACAATTTCATAAGCAAGAACGGCAGCCATATGGCAATATATTTCCAAATTTATTCCGAGAACAGGTCATCTCCAGGATATGACATGTTTTCGAACTGGAGCCGCGATGGCTCAGGGGGTAGAGCGTTCGCCTTCCAATGAGGTGAACCGGGTTCGAATCCCAGAGATGGCTGGTTGATACGAATCTGCATCCGGCTTGCACCGACCACAGTGTTGACGTGAAATATCCTCTGGTAGATGAATCAGGTTTGAGTCCCTTTGCTTTCAGGCTAACGGTGGAGGATCTCGTAGTCTCCCTCACCATGTAACGCAAATGCAAGTTAGTTCCATCAAAGGCAAATTTTTCCCAATACTTAATCCAGGAGAATTCCAAAAATTGGGTCGGCTGTTCAACGATTGTTATAAAAATAAATAAATAAAATGTTTTCGAACTGAATTGAGATTTTATTGCTTACTATAGGAAATAGGAGGAGATGAATTTTTTCTAGCCTAACTATCTACCGCAGCTAAATTTGCAAGAATCTCAATTTTGAAAAAAAAAAAAAAAAAAAAAAAAAAAAAAAAGTGGAGATGACTGGTTTTCGAACACATCGATTTAATTATCTATCATTAATTTTGCCCTTGCCGAAGGTTTAACATTATTAGATAGAACAAAACTCGTACGTTTTTAGTAGTTCATTCCATTAAAATAAAACTTTTACCTGCATTCAGTATCATTTGGCATGTTGCTGTTGCTCGAGGTAAACTAATGATAGTCAAAATTTACCATAATCAAGCGATTTTACTCCGGTACTCATCCCTTTCGTGCAGGGGCCCCAACCAGAGGGGGAGGTGGGCGCACGATGCGCCCACTTAAAGCTTGGGGGGGGGGAGTTTTACACTAAATAAAACGAATAGTTTGGGGGGGGGGAATTTAGAATTTGCCCAAGAGCTTGGGGGGATGGGGGCCACTGTTTTAGTGGGGCCGTAACAACCTCTTTCCACAGTAATTGCACATTTTGATGCAGTTGCAATATTAAAATTGCACATTTTGATGCAGTTTTAATAAGTGCCAAATATACCAGTTGTAATTATATTAGTATATTTGTAACTCTAAAAACTGCACCAATTACCATAAGACCAAAAGAGCCTAATACCTAAATTAATAAAGCAACATTTGAATCAATAACAGATTTTCACGTTTCTTCTACGATTCCATTTCTCCGTCAATGATGCTTTTGCTTTTTATTTACATAGCTTTTTTTGTTTTGTTTCAATTAGTACCTATCACCAAAATTAATTAAGCATCATTGACGTCAATACAGCGACAGTACAGCGATTTTTTACAGTGCCTTTAAACGAATAATTACCTTTTCTCCAAAATTTTGGATTATTTAATTAGTACCTAGCACCAAAATTAATTAATTAAGCATAATTGGCTTCGATAATAGTATAACTATATTCTATGTATCTCCTAAACCAATTAGTACTATTTCTCTCTTAATTTTGCTTTTCAGTATATTATTTATTTTTAATACCGTTAATTTTAAACTATTTAGTTTTGTCAAAACACCCTTTTAACGCATAACTATAAACAAAAAACGCACTTTCAGATAACGTCAGAAATGGTAATTTGGTGACGTAGTCCACCTATGCTACCACGTTCATGTTCATTATTGAGTATATCTGACATAACGAATAAGAAATAGTTAAGTATATGAGAGCGAGAAATAAACTCTTTCTTTTTTTTTCTCCATGAGCTAGCAAATATCATTGATGTTATTTTTTAAAATATTTGAAGAAATCAAATCGTTAGTGATTTCATTGATAACCCATGAAAAAATTCCATTTTTCAAACATCTCTCCTGAACAATCTAATAGAAATTTTTGAAGAATTTTTAATATGGGGGGATACAATTGCACCTAATAATAATGCACCTAATAATAACAGATAATAATGAGAAAACACACTCATTATTATCTGACAGGCTCAAACTTGTTTGTGATGATGTAAAATAAATTCATTCAAAAAATATTTAGTTGCTGCATAGACGCAGAACAGAGCTTAGTTTTAAAATTGAGAAACCAGCTGAATGGTTACCTCTGCAGTCTATTAAAGAGCTTCTTCTTTTATTATATTATAAAATTTACTTTAAACTTTCAAAAAAAAAAAAAAGAAAAAAGTAATAACTGAAAATAAAACTTTTCAGACCAAGAGTTCACCAAAACATTTCAGTTCACAAACCCTTCATTTTATTTTTTTAACCGTCGTTGAACAGCCGAATGTTGGGTTTACGACTACTGATGTTCAACTCCATAGCCTTCTAATTTTGAACCCAATCCAGAAGACAAGGGAACTCCTGGATCGAGTATTGGGAAAAATTTGCCTTCGTGGAGGACTTCTTGATGGAGCTAACCAGCATTTGAGTTACGCGGAGAGGAAGACCACGAGAACCTCCCACGGTTAACCTGACGGCAATAGGATTCTAATTTTATAACCGTCGTTGAACAGCCGACCTAATTTTATGGGTTTACGACTACTAGTGTTCAACATTGCTGCCTTGTAATTTTGAACCCAATCCAGAAGACAAGGGAACTCCTGAATCAAGTATTGGGAGACATTTGCCTTCGTGGTGGACTCTTTGATGGAACTAACCCGCATTTGCGTTACACGGAGTTAAAAACCACGAAAATTTCCAATAGTTAGCCCAGGGGTCGCCAAACTTTTTTGATCATCGACCATTACATAATTTTTCAAAATCTCCATCGACCCCCACAAAAGTAATTTTCTGTTAATTAAAATAAAACTCTGTTAGATACTGTGTTTGTACATTTATTTTATGATTTTAAACATTTATTAAAGTAATAGTACATTGTGTTACAGTACTTTTATGAAAAATATATTGACATTGAAATTTAAATACCTTATTATTAAATAATAAGTAATTATGCATAAGTAGATATAATAAGTAAAGTAACTAAAGATTTACTGCTTCTTGATCAATGAGATGGGTGTGCCTGGTGTTTTTTTGCAAGGTTCGCTATATTGGGTTCAAAATTGGTCAATTTTAATTTTCGTCAAAATTGGTCAATTTTGTAATTTTCGTAAAAAAATACAAAGTGTGCTATAGTTTTGTCGCGGGCTGTACTAATCCATATTATTAATGCTTACCTTCTTTTTTGTGCATTGATAATTAAAATTGATATCTAAACCAAACGAATGGTTTTATCGAAACAATAACTAATTATCCAAAACTATAAAAGTTTTAATAATGACACTGCAAATATTCAACACAGTTTGCAAAGATAGCTGAAACTGCGTATGATATTTGCATTTGTAACGTCAATGCTCGTCACACGTGACATTTGTACAAGCGCACATAAGCATATGACTTATACACTGCACTGAGTTCGTGCCGCTGCGCGGTGGTACATAAATACTTGTTTCACCCCAATAAATATACGTTTATTAATTTATGTTTTATAAAGAAACTGATATTGAGTCAATTATAAAATAAAATTCACAAATTTTACATACTTAATTAGGTATGTGTGATTTGCGTATTGAGAACTGTTTTTTTTTTCGGCCCACAATCGACCCTTCCGATTCGGATCGATCCCCATTCGTCCCCCTGTCTCAGATCGACCCCCTCTTTTGTTAAATAGACCCCTGGGGGTCTATATCGACCACTTTGGCGACCTCTGTGTTAGCCTGACGGCAAGGGGACTCTGACTCATGATCCATCTACCACTGAGGATATTTTACGTCAGCACTGTGGTCGGTGCGAGCCGGGTACGGAATTCGTTTCGATCAGCCATCGCTGGGATACGAATCCGGTTCACTTCATAGGAAAGCGAGTACACTATACCCTGAGACACAACGGCTCCCTCATTTTACTATCATAAACTAACAAAATCGATTCTAATACTTATATTAATGTTGTTATTTTAATAGAATAGTCGGCTATCATTTATGGCGTTCGAACAAATTTGTTTGACTCGTTCCTTAATTTAAGATATT